AAAAAAAAAACAAACGAAACAAGAAAATTGTAAATCACTACGGAGTACATAAATTTCATCAGGATTGGGATGAAGAGCCTGTGGAGAAAAAATAACATGTAGTTTCCCCCCTCCCCCACAATGTTTTTCTTTTCTTTTGTCGGGTTATATAGCATTTTGATGCGTAATACAGGTACGGAGTTTCACAAGCATGTATCTACATACCCTGAGTACATTCAGACACTCCTATTATCATGTGCCACACGCAGGCGCAGCAGGTATTTTGCAGGTATCATAATTTCGGATGGTACTGTTGAGCAGGACCTGTTATTGTTGTTCTCATTTCGTTAGCTAGGATATTGCTGACCCACACATCATGCAGCCTCTACTCCGAATAAAATTACAACTGAGCTCTGATGAACCTCCTTCACAGCCGGAACACGCCACGCCAGGGAGGATCCACCGGCACACTCTATACAGTAAAGAAGGTACCGAGTACACATTTAACGTTATATTGGATAGTAGGTTTATTTGGAGGTAGTAGCAATAATCGCGAAAGGTCGGTAATATTCAACAGTCTGAGACCCAGGCCACTGAGAATACTACGTAGGCGTAGGGCCCCGCAGTCGGTTTGAGCAAGATTTTCGGCGTTTACTGCAATGCAAAGTGGGATGATGAACGTTTAGATTAGATCCGCAGTCGCCCGATGTCGGAAAAAAAAAAAAACAAAAAAACAAAAAGCGCGGTGAAAGTGGAGACTGGAGTAGTATGTATCTATGGTAAACTAAACGTATGTACAATACTGTTACATCTCTCCAATGATGAATGATCTTTCACACTGACACACATATATACATCCAGCAAGTAACTGTACTTAGTACCTATGGCTATGCCAGATATTCATATATAGATACAGTGCATGGGGGTCTGTTGATCAGTCAGGGACTCCTACTAACCTAAACAAAACTGGTCACAATTATTCCCTACATAAGTAAGTTCACCGCTAGCAGCGGGGTAGAAGGTATGTCTTTCACAAGTATTGTAAAAGAGAAGTTTCCCACGTCGTCTCTGGTGCTTACGACTCGGATGGATGGTTACCAAGATTATGAGAACCCCCCAAGATAGGGAGAATTGTGTATCCCATAATTTGGTGTGCCCTTCAGCACATACACATGGCCTACACACCCAAGTTCAGAATTCACAGCCTGCTTTTGCTTAATAAGTTCCATTCTTCTTTTGGTCATTTTCTTCCCCCAAATTTACTTGGATTTGTACTAATGTATATCCTACGTCATTGGGTATCTACCCCCTCTAAACCCCTCTCCCAAGAGTAAAAAACAGCAGATCAATATCAAGCCAGGCGAGACCAGAGCGGAATTGTTACGCACTACCAACTAAAGGTGATAGAGAAACGAGAAGTACCAAAGAAAAAAGAAAGAAAGAAAGAAAGAAAGAAAAGGAAAAAACAGGCCCAATTCTCTAAGCATGTACGGAGCAGTGAACGCAATGAGGCCCATACAAGCTGCATATAAGGACATACATGCATACAGAGGCAACCCCACCAAAGCAACCATCTTCTGCATCTATAGTACCTCGATAAGTAAAAAAATCAATAGGGGTCATGAGACAATGGCGTCAGGAAAGCGCTCTCCTTTCTTAGCCTATTGGATTCTAGCAATTAATAACATTTTTATTCATCTGGTTACGTTGGCGACCCCACGCACAAGAAGAAACGATCAAGGTTGCGATAGCTCGTGCCCTTGATGTACTCGGTTAGACTGTGAACAGACATCCCGTCGTCCGTTACTGTCATTATTTTCGGTGCGCTTGTCTCGCTATGTGACTCGGGAGCAGTATGTCCCACCACTCTAGTATTTCATTTCGAACTTCAACAGAACCTACCCCTCTTTCTCCTGAGCACCTTAGCTCTTCTTGTCCTATCCACCTTTCGGCCCCAGCACTCGATTACCAATGTATGTGACGTGGTTGGTCAGTTTGAAGGACTGGCCCTGCAGGTGATTTGGCCTTACTGCAGAATAACTGCAGTACTATGTATGTAGTACGTACTAGCACTGTGTATTGGAAAGAGTCTTGAGCCTTCAATAAACGCCTCTAAGCGACTATGGGATATTAGCCCACACTGATTCTGCATAAACTTAAATATCTTCCTAGAGTAAATATGGTCTTCCACTCTTTCATCCCGGAGTCTGATTCTCACTGGGTCCCTTCTGTAGCCCAACCAAGTTTTCCACTCCGGGTCTAGGTATAGCTCTCATCCCCTCTGCTAAAAAGCCTATGATAGAGTAAGACAACCATTAATAGCAAAATCGTATGATATAGAGCCATATGGATGGGTCTGGTATTCCTCATAGGAATACCCCTTTGAGAGTATCTAGTATGCTGGAGGCGCTGGCTGGAGTTGTCGGGTGAACCAGTACCATAGGACGTGACTATGCCTTCAGTCACTGGCACGTATGTTGACCCAATAAAGGGACCTTTCAAAATAATGCAAGTATAATATCATGGTAGTTATAATAGCTAAATAATAGATAAGAACGAGCGATTTCACAAGCTTCGAATGAAAGTTTGCCTCAATGTACGTAGATGAAGCTTTTCATGCAGGTTACAATGAGATTGACTCAAAAGTTCACGATAGGGTTATAAATTTAAACATTGTACAATGACAGGATGTATGATTTCATATATAATGAATACTGATAACCGTAACCGTTGGACAGATATTAGAGAGCCTATGTATGTCTTGCTAGCACTTTCTGGTGGAAAGTCAACAGCGTATTTCTGTACGACAGCATTCTAGAATTTGCTGGCAGTTACCCCAAGATCTGCTATATATCCTACCTGTAGTACACTTCTCTATAAAAAAAATTAATAAAAAATAAAACTTCCTTAATAAAATGAAGTACTTTACAATGGATCATTCAAGAATCAATGTTGAAGACATTCAGATCACTGCGAAGGGGAGTAAGCAGGGGTACGAATTGGCAAAGTTCTGGGCCTTGACAGGGGGGTAGTAGCTCAAATGGTATTAAACTTTGCAAAGCAACTGAGATTGCAAGTAGCGGTATGCTATGAGAGGTAGAGAGTTGCCGACCTCCTACTAAAGGTAGGGGTCGCTACGTCCTTTATATACACAGGGTAGTTAAGCACCGTAGGGTTAAGCCCGTGGTGCAGTCACTAGGGCCGTAGCTAAAGTGAAAGGCTCCCTCACGTAGCTCTGTAGTACCGTTACCTCAGCGTAGCTGCGATCACACAACCATAGATCAAACGCCTTAATTCTATTGAAGATCTTATATCTGAGTAGGATCACATTGAAGGTATCAAATCAGAGCAGATTGAATGGGTTATCTAAGGTATGCCGAGACATCCCTACATTGCCCTCAATAGATATAATAGAACCAGAAAGCTCTCTGTCTTTTCCAACTGTTTGGTGCTCAAAACTCCAAGAAAGCATTGCTGCACATTACATGGCTTCGTAGGATAGGTCTCCTCTCTTTACTACGAGTAATTTTCTAACACAAAAACTTGGCCCCCTTCATCTGTATCCTAATATTATTTAAAGCATGGTTGCACCTCAATAAGTTAGTGCAACAAGTTGCATAAACATTCAACGTGGCCTCTAAGACGTAATATTAGTTGCGTGCACGATACCCCCTTACAATCTATCAATATGTACAATGAGTAACTCTAACTTTCCGGGTGCAGCTTGCATGGCGCAACACTATTGTTGTTCAGGTGAGGAGGAAGAAGGTTGATTTTTTTTAAGCTATCTAAGAGGAACGTCTCTGTATAAATACTGCAGAGCTCGTTGCTCTGAGCTTTTGCTACCTTTCTTACTTCGCCTTTGAATAGGCCGCATTGTTCCTTTATATCTAATACTCCAAAAGCCTGAGAATAGACCCTTGAGCATATAGACAAGCATAATCGACCTTTCAATAGGTAAATGCAACCATATCAAGCACAAAGGCAGCCAACTTTCAACAACTATCAGCCTCCCATATTCCACAGATTTTCTCGCAGGTTTTCTACGATACCAGGGATACGCTCTATAGACAAGCTCCTGCGATGTTTTTTAAACTTGAGCCGTCTTCAACTTGAGATGAAGCAGTGAAGCTTATGAGCGAACTACCTGAGCAAGACAGTGCTCATCATCCACTCCCAACTCTAGCGTGGATGATAATATGAACGAGTTGCATATTATAATCATGCTAGCGTTCAATTTATGCTGTCATTGCGGTGAAGTATTCTATGGCTTTTTGGAACACTGGGCGCTGTGATTGGGGTAGGCGACTACTTGGCAATGAGTTCTATCTTTCGAAGCGATAATGTGCAGTTGAGAATTCTCTCTAGTCTTCACACAGCCAGTTTATGCATCCCATCCCCTCCTCCTCCTCCTCCTCCTCCTCCTCCTCCAACAACAACAACAACAACAACAACAACAACAATAGCGATGATAGAGGTTACAACTAAAGAGATTTATCTCGCAACAACCAGTAATGCTTGAGGCGAGCCTGAGAGAACCGGATTTTATCAGTCGGTCTAGGTAAGTAGAGACAACCCCTGCGGGAATAGCAGAACGAACAGGTTATGCAAATATCAAGATTGTCGCACTTTCTACTTTGTTGCTAGTTAGTGGTGGTTTTGCTTGCTATAGCCCTATGTGTTTGTATGTCATTATATCACTATATCACTACAGGCTTACTACTGAGCAGTACATTGAGTGGCATATCATGTATATTGATGGGACAGGGAAAAACTGACCAGAAGATACCTACATAGAAGCAATCTGATGGTGAGATTAGTTTTGAAAATAGATGGCTGCTACGGAGTAGGTCTTAGGAACTCATCCACGCAGACGCAGGGCGTTGTCGAGGCCGGTGTATGTATCTCCAGATAACCGATGAGATATGTCGGATTGGATATGGAGGTGGCAATTCAAAGTAATGGGCTGAAAGCTAGGCCGATCGATTTTAAAATTACGTCAGAGGATACCAGCCCTGTTGGGAGAGCCGACTGAAGAAGTGGCGTAAGGGATGAAAGATGCATGGATAGATTAGTACGGAGTTTATTTATTGATCTATTCAGGGCATGTCCTGCTTAGTCATGATGAATAGCCGTTGCCGCATTGTCCCCTCGAGAGGGTTACATAGCTTATCAATAGATTGAATCAAGGGTTAGTCAATAGTAGATAGATGATTAACTCAATTATTGTCAAGTGGAACGCAGGAAGGCAATGACGTTGTTTGGCACATCGCCACCACCTACAGGTTGTCATGGAGAATCAGCTTAGCAAGGCCAGTAGTTGTTAAGATATATATGTATATATATGAATCACCTCTAATATAGACGTTCCCACGGTTATATATATGTCTCATGACATGTGTCAATCTACAACATCACTGCGTATAAGTTATGCAAATCAATTTTAATGGTCCGGCTTGTGTCAGCCGGCCGTTAATTCCAGTACTGTGCATCTGATTATCTTACCTGAGATCTAGCCCACAGCTGGGCGCTTTTGGACACGTCGAGAAGGAAGCCAAGACACGTGGACAGGAGGGGCTTGATATGGAGAGTGACCTGGCTGTACACTGATAGTCATACCGCTCCCAAACATATATATACTTATATATTTTTTTTTATCCCGTCTCGTACTGAGAGAAAAGATAGTAGTTGTCAAGGTGTTAAATTCAAAACAACGGACTTGGTACCAACCCTCCAACCTCTTGTTTTGTGTGAAGTATAAAAGAGGGGACTGAAAAAGCTACCCGGTCTGAGTAAGCAAAAATGGTTGTTCGTTTCTTCTGTGGAGTTAATCCCTGGAATACCTAAAGTGGTTGCCACTCTTTCGTACAGTACCTGACTGGAGATCCACGGTTGGGTGTATATGCATTATAGGTCTGTGGCGAAGTTTGGTAGAAATCGAATTATCCCGCGTACAATCGGTGTAATAATGAAAGAGAATAAGTTCACTGCACATGCAAGGGAGAAAAGGCGCTGAATTGATCGATAGTCCCCGCATGTCTTATCGATATCCAAGGATTAATGATATGAAGTCTATGACGAGGGTTGGGTGGGTAGTCTCACGCCTAAATTAGGTACGGAGTACTGTACTTTGAGTACGCGGGCTTACTCTATTCTCCTCCATCCTGGGAACTGGTTTTCGAAATCACTAACTCCTCTTCAGCCTAATAAAGTGAAAGCTTTATCGGATCAAATAAGGATGTACCTTGAAGGACGTATATACCGTTTCTACCTTTGGAGCACTCGAAACGATAAATAGGATCGATGAGCCTACCAAAAACGAAGATAATGTAGACTTGAGTACTGTACTACTCGATCTGTAATAATTTACTCCCGTACAGTCTGTATCGTATGATGGGGCGAGGG